GAGAGGTGTGTAGGTACCGGAAGTACGATTTCCGCTGAAGGATACCTGTTAAAGTGATAACACAATTAGAAAATTATACTATACGTAACATCTACTGTCGTATAATTAGAGACAGAATTAGTCTTGCACATCAGTTTGTACACATTTAATATCCCGTACTATATAAAGTCCAGAACAAAGTGTATATAAGGTCGACACGAACATCGGCAATTAAATGGGTATACGAAACATTATTCGAAATATGAAATGAAATAACTCACATTTTATTGATATTAACAATTATATCTCAAAATATCTGTGTCTTTAAATGTATCTTTATTTCTGCGACAGTGACACGATTTTATAAAATTATATCGATACAAATATATTGACGGTGCTCTTATAAATATTTATAAGAGGAAGATTCTTTTCTCTCTGGTTACGTATAAGTATATTTATAGATATACGAAAAATAAACTCTACATTTTATATTGTTTAGCTATTTTATGAAGTTAAAAAATTATACTGCGCTTAAAAGAATCGATGTCGGTTTACGAGGTTGTGGATCGCTGTTGCAGGATTAAAGATAAAAGCGCTGGGAGTCATCCCAGTGTGTGTATGTGTATGCAACATGTGCAGTAAATTCATGCGCGTAGACACATCTACGAGCAAATACGTTTATGGCAGTAATAGTAAAGATGTCAAGGTAATACGTGCCCGAATAAAATGGAAATAGGCCGTGGGTATAGGCAGACTGTCGTTGCCGGCGCTCGCACGTACGCGTTTCGCTTTCGTGTCTGACTCGACTTATCTCTTACTACTTGTGTCAAAGCTCAGATAGTCGTTATCGTAGTTTCGGTCGTCTCGTGTTTTTTTTCCCCCGCCGTTTCACGTAAAGTCTCGTAGACCTTACAATTTTACAGTTGCTCACGTTCGGTGCAACGCGATTTACGTTGCATGTCAATTTTGCAAGTGCACTCGGCGTCGGCGATTGATCACACCGCTTCGCACTTTTTCATCCCCGCGGTCGGCAACCGTGAGACACTCGTCTTTTTATAAAGTGGAGCTGAGTAGAATACGCCGAGAAGATATAATACACTTTAGAAGTAAAATAATTTGTCGTTCGCCTCTGTTTACATTATTAAAAAAAATGAAACTTTAATTTTTTTTTACTGTAATATTCTGACCAATTTTATTATTGTGAAATTATTTTGATCGCACAGTCAAGTTTCCACCTATAAACTTTGACACAAGAAGATTTTTCGTGTCTTTGGAAATGCGATGTACAGAAATGTGCCTACTATTCATTTAATACGTTACGACAGTGTATGCATTATATAGGAAATAACATGTGTGCGCATCGTTTATATTGTGCGAAAGGCACACATGCGGCGAAAAACTTCCACGATCGATAACAATTTACATGCTGTTTAGTGTGTAAAAATAGTATGTCGCGTAACGTTGTAGTAACTGCAAGACTTCCATTCGTATGCACGCACGGCACGCAGCGACAGTTTATGTCTGTTTTAAAACACATAACTTTACTTTGAAGCTCAAATTAAAATAGCACAGCCGAGAGTAGGGTTTAATCGTCTAGTTACAAACAAGCTCAAAGCTGTCGACTCATATAGCGCATTCCATTGCGGTTCACTGTTTATTGTCTCATCCTAAACAGCTGTTAAATTCCGAATGTCATATCGTATATACGGTACATTAATTAAGGCCGAATGACGACTATGTCACGATAATGGTGCCATCGGGATATGTTTACTGCATTTCTTTCAATCCTTGACATGCTAAAGGTGCATACAGCATAAACAAGCGCATATATGTACAATGCACGATATAACTGCAATGTCATCGCGTTCTCAAGAGTATTTGACAAAACTTTTCATAGTATTTTTTCTGAATAATATGTATTCTTAAAAGATATATTTTTGTATAAGAAAGAAAAAAGTGTTATGTCTTGGATATAAAAAAATTATAAAGAAAAATGTCTAAAAGTTGAAACTACAAATTTACTTTTAGTCAATTGTAAATTTATCTAATTTATGTAGTAAATTAAATTATGCTATAATATTCTCACAATGAAATTTTATAAATTTCTTGATTGGACTTCACAATTTTATTATTAATTTTTTATTTAGTATAATTATATTTTCTATTTATTGAATATATTCATAAATTATAATTTATTTTGTTTCTATATGAAGAAAATCATTTAAAATCATTTCTTCAATTTTTATTTTATCTCTGCGAATCTACAATAAACAAGTTTACAATAGACTAAACCAATCTCTACAATAAATTAAACCATAATTGTATGGTTATTTTTTAATTATATTAATTTGAGGAAAAAGCGAAGAATATTGAACTAATTGCTCGTTTCATTTGTATGCACTTTTAGTTTTTAAATGCAAGTTTTTTCATCACACGTACGTACGCAATTGTCAGACATGCTAACAGTGTTTCCTGCATTGGAATGCATTCCCGCATTTTTTGCATTCGCGAGTTCAATCGATACGTAAAAAAGGGGTGCCTACACGCGTGTTTTGATATTTAATCGCGTTGCGTTGAGTATACATGACGGTAAATGTCCACAATGCGCATCGCAAAGGTCACAGGTCGCTACGTGGCACTGCGGTCTTCGTCAGACCGTGAAAGCCGCAGCAATACTTCAATCGTGAATTTCCGCACTTACATCTCTCGCGCATTACGTTCTTTTCGATCACGCGAAAAGTTTTAGCAAGAGATTTATATTACGATTTCCATATACTGATGTTGCGTTCTTCCAATACTTTTTATCGATACGTTTTTAGATTTAATTGCAATAATTGCGATGTAGTGCTGAG